GCGATTCGCTACTAGCGAATCGCGCGATTCGCTAGCGTCCGCGGTCGCGTTGCGGTACCAGCCAATTGAGTGATTCACTGGCCGCGACGCGACCGCAGACGCTAGCGAATCGCGCGATTCGCAAAGTCTGACATCGGCCTTAGCTTTTCGACGGACGCTTTCATTTTTTCTTTGCTACCGGCCCATTTCGCACCAAGAGATACGTTCTCGAGTGCAAGAACCATGTCATTTTGAACCTGGAGCATGCCCTAAAATTGAGATGAACAATGCCGTTCTCGGCTCGATAAAAACTGCGGGAAACCTGACATTTGTGCCTGACATTTGTGAATCCTAGAAATATCAGAAACATACTTTGGTCATAGAACAAGGGCGGAAATTCGCGGCGGTACTAAAACAGATGTCTTTGAGGAAAATGATGCACACAGCCTTCAGCCTCAGTCACTTCAAATAAAAATTGCTGTTTATTAGTTCGTGGATATGGCAAGTGTTGGCTGAAGGTGCATGAAGGCTCGACAGAGAAGTTCTCTCCTCCAACAAGCACCGAAATCACCAATTTCCTGGATCGCCGCAGGAGACCCATTCTACTAAGGAGGACTCGTGGTTTTCCGCTTCTTTTTTCAGAATTATAGGGAATTGCAATCTCCATGCCCCGATGTTGCCATCCATTATAGCGAAAGTTTCTCCGGCAGAATGGCTGGATGAGCGTTTGTAAATGTACAATGTATTGTACCTAGAACATTTGTTTGGCTTTGCCAGTTGATTGAAACGCTCATGGGAGATTAACATGTGTTCCAACAATTGAAATGAAAGGCTCATGACAAACACTTTATTCGGATGTTTAGTGCGTGTGCTGAACTCATTTTGCCCTTAACTCCCATCGCAATGATGTTTTATGTGGACAGGAAGGCCAAACGCTGCGCTTTTCGTTCCACCATATGTCCAGAAAATCGTGATGAAGCAGCATGATAGCTTTATAAGGGGGGGGGGGTGCTGACAGCGCTTACTCATTAGCAACTTTCTATAAGCGGAATGAGAAGTGAAAGTGAAAACAAAGCAACTAATTTTTATGACCCTAAGTAGGAAGATTCACTTTTTGTGCTCCTTCGACCCGTCAGAGTAGTACGCCTACCATCACAGCAAAGGGACTGACCAGTAGAAGTCGTTCAAGACGTGGAGTGCTCTTCAAAACGGTCTGTTGCATGCTATGGGATACGTTAATAGGAGCATGAAACCGATGACCCTTTTTTCTGAGCGGCCCTGAGATTGTCAGAAAAAGGGCAGAAAACTTTCTTTGAGAAGTGGAACTTTTGCAATAAACGCCAATAAAGAGCACATCATTTTTGACGGTCATACTCACGTTCGAGACCGTTTACTGGTCTAGAGCTGTGGAATACACAAGGGCGAAACTCTTCACGAATTATGGAACTGTCGGCATGACTTAGGGTAGACAAGTAGACTTTTTATGCGAAATAGCAAAAGAGCTAAGAAAGAGCTATTACGACCTGCTGTTTATGAGCCCAAACCATTGCTTCTGCTTTAACACTTCCAGAGATCTCCATGGCAGATCAGAGATAAAGTTCGAAACCATGTGTACATCCTAACTTCAGTGACCATGGCGACCTAACGACGTTTTTTTTTACAAGCGAGGAAGGCATAGCAAATAAAAAGGACCACACACAAGGACCAGAAAGGTTTGTGATTCTTTAGCGCAGTATTTCATACGCCATTCGGGGCGCGCCACTATAATGTTTTCCGCCACAGTGCCTGGCATGCTTCTTCTTTCACGTTGTACTAAGGACACACACACATAAATCATCAACTTATCTGAAACAATTATTAGAACAGGTTGTTTTGAACATAGCTAATATTTATTACCAATATTTATTAACATTCAACCATTGTGACATAGTGTACTTTAGAAAGTGAGGAAATTCAAATGAAATAAAGTCCCTCAAATTTGTAATTGCCGTCGAGCTTCTGATCATCGAGTAGGACTTGACCGTCAGTGGTGAATACGGTGACATAGGTTTCGACAGGTTCATCAGTCACTTCTTTAGACTTCAAGGCCACGATGATCTTGTCTCAGTGCCAGGAATGAAATCGAATGCCGAATATCCGCGCTCTGGGCCGCAGTATTCCTACCCTCTTAAATCGAAGTGTCAATGATCCGGGTTTCCAAGAATTAGTACCACCATCTGTGTCTTCCCCCTTACTGAAATCTGCGTAATGGCGCCGTAATCAGTTAATGAGTAAAACTAAAATAATCGAGGAGCTTCACTCACTTTGTCTCGTCCTCTTCTTCGACGTAGACAGTCTTGGATTCTTTTCTAGGAAGGAAGTACCAATGTTTCCGTATTTCTGACCACTGGACGGCTTCATGTGTTAAATATCCCGGCTCAAAAATACCGACAGCGTTTCGCAGTTTCACCATAATTGTCGCCAGCTACGTGGTAAACCTCACTGATAATATCACACTTTGACGTTGATAAGCTTTAAATTACAGACAGTTTTTTAGCTTAAATCACCCTGCAAGCGAGCCACTCATATCTCCGTCAAAGGTGCGGATAGCGTAATGATGCAAATTGATAAGAAATCATCAAAAACATGAACAAGATATAAAATTAATTGCTGATTACAGAAGATGAAAATGGATCCATGAATCAAATGCTGACGGGAGGCTCAACTCAGTTCAGTGTTTCCACAGACTGAAAGTTCGCACATACAATCTATGAAAAATCTTTCGGTAAAAAAACACACCATGGCAACTAAGCATCCAAAGCTACCAAAGGTGCAAGTTCTCTTATAGATAACTTCTGACTCCGAACTTTGCAAACATGCCAAGTCCTTTGACTGTTGTATTTCCAGCCATCCAGGGCCTGGGCTTAACATTACCAGAAAAACAGTCAATTTCGACATGATTCACAGCAAGAAACAGATTCACGCATTGAGAAGTTATGAAAAGAAACGCTGACTTGACCAGACTAATTGAAGCAGAGTATAGCATCTTAGAAGTGTCTTGATGTTTCTAATTAAGCGAACAACATCAGCCGGAGAATATGCGCCGTCACTTGATTTTGCTTACTGAGTTGTAAAGTTCGATATTGTACATAAGCGCTAAAAGCTGTTGTGTATCGACGAAGGCTGCTTCAAGGTTTCGCCGAAACGGTTCCGTATAATCTCATTTTTGGAGGTCGAGAAATCAATGGTGGCCTCGAAAAAAATCGTAAATAGCACGAGTCGGGATATGAATACCGATGATGTTTAAGTGTCCTGATTCTTTAAAAATTGAGGCATCTAAAAACAACTAGAAAACACGTAGGTAAAATCATCTTTGGAGCAGAAGTGCTTGAACGAGAAAAAATAATGCCAACAAAAGCGTTCGGGGAATACTTTTGTGAGCAGCTCTTCGTGTACATATATGATACAGCAAGCTCAGCCCGTATAGTGTTGGATGAAATCGTACCTTTGTCGAGGTATACGGAATCATTCAATCACAGGTATTTCTCGGAAAACGGCGCATTCCATTTGAAAGCAAAATTTTCCGCTCTACAACGCCTTTTCTTATCATTTTCGCTCATCCTTACCAAGAACAAGATATAAGTGCTTTGAATTGGATCAACCCAGCTGACCAAAACCATATAATTGTGCAGACTTCGAGCCGCTGTTTTTTTTTCAAATTATATAAAGTAAAACACTGCTCCGTAAAATGAAAGTTTTTTCAAAATTCAATCGTCTCCATGGAACTTAGCTCCCAACGATCCCTACCTTCCTTTCGCTCGATTCGTAATATATACCTTTGTGCTGTGCAAATGAAACGTGCTGGTTCTTTGCGACATGCCCTATTCTCTTTTTTAGTCAAATCTAAGCTGATCGAACTAAAAAATTGCGACCATGAATCCGAGGTTGCAAATTGATGATGAACAAAACATCACCAGATTTGTTTCATGGCTTTGCTTCAAGTGCTCGTGTCGAACGTAACTGCCATGATACTATGATCTAACCCCATACTTTATATGAAAAAGTCCTCATCATCGAGAAAAAAGGAGATATACGGCACACGAGGCTCAGAAGTGGCTCATTACTAATCACATTGTCTGATTTCGTTGCCCTTGGTGGCATGGCAATGTGCACTAGCGCTATGTATCCTGGTAAAAGATCCTAAAGTTGCTCGCCGTAGTGAGGGATCCTACAGGTCAGAGGGGGTAGTTCATTACACCTGTGTAAGCTTCCGAGGCGGCAATTTCAACCACATTTTTTATCGCACCATTCATTGCGATTTTCCGTACCTTTCCACTGGGAGCAATAGTTTTGATCCACATATTATTTCGGTGCACAACTTCTCCTTGAATACTTCTGAATTCCTGAAATACGACAACTTTTGAAGGTGAACTGTCAGCTCACATCAAGGGACGGTAATAAAGTGCCCTAAACTGGCAATCAAATGTGGTGATTTTCACCCATTGACGAGGAACAAGGAACGTGGAAACATGGACTTGACCCTTCTTGAAACCGCCAGCCTCGCCACACTACCTGCAAAACTTGCGCCACTCTCGGACTTGAACCCTGGATGACAGGACTCAAAGCCGGGTTTTTGCCAGTGCACCAGGGATCACTCGATCACAGCATCGGAAGAGGTCTTGACAACAGGTAAGCAACGGATGTTGTTTGCAAATCTTAGACTCCAAGCGGTGTAGATCCAGCAACCTTGCCAGCGGCAGCGTGGAACGTTCCTATTGAGCCATTGGTAATTTGCCATAGTGGAAGTGGTGAGCCCCACGTTGCCTGCAAACCTTGCGTCACACACGGGTTTGAACTTTCGGTGCACCGTCCCATGAGCGGCATCGTTACCACTGCACTAAGGAGCCCTTCTTATCGACGGTGAAAGGGTTGTAGAGAAAAGGGAATAGCCTACGAAGGTTGCAAACCTTTAGACTTCTCGTAGTATTGATCCCGCGACTGATCCAACACCAACGTAGACCGCAGGCGCTACACCACTGACGAATCAATGCAAGGTGCCTCCCTTTCCCTTTCCAACACCGTGCTTTGACCCACGCACCTGGCAGTTTGAAGTTGGCCAACTCCAAAAAGTCCTCCGAAGGACTTTTTGCTGCGCGTAACGGGCGTCACCTGCGTCTCTCCAAACACACTGTATTTCGCCCCTCCGCGTCCCGTTTTCTTCCAGCGAGCCCGTTCTCAGCGCTGCCATAGAAGCAATTTCTAAAATCATCTGAAAAGCTTGCACCTCCACGGTACGTGCTCATTAAAGCTGCCCATCGACGTGCAATTTTGGTTGGTTTACTATCGTCCCAGATACGATATATTGAAACGCTTATCTCATTGAGCGATTTTATGAACACTGAGTTACCGCTGAACAATCCGTTGAATACATATACTAAGAAGACGGTTTTTTGGCGAAAGAATATATCAGAAGAGAATCAGCTGATCCTCCAAGCACAATGATCTCACTTACAGTACCGTGACCTCCAGCATAGAGCACATCATTCTTGATGGTCATCCACTCGCATTTGAAAGGACTGGTCGTGTTTCCTGGACCAGAATTGAGAAATACCCAAGGAATCATCTGAATAATCCTCAAATGAGAACAAAAATGATTACCTTGACTAAAACCTCACCTTGTTGTCTTTAATTTCGCTAACCAGTCCAGTTTTGTCATCAGGTGTAAGTATGCGGTTGTGGAAGACTGACAAGTCTGATAATTCCATGGCACGTCCTTTGAAATTCATTGACCTGAGGCGTTGCATTTTTTCGAAACTTTTTTGATCGTGTGAAATTCATCCAGTATAGCTGGGTATCTTTATGTCTGTATTATCTTTGACTGTGTTAATACACATACCCTCCCCTTCAAAAAGCCAGAAAGTGTCGGTGCAGACCATACACCACAACTGACGACGGCTTCCAAGTAAATCTGGTTAGTAGTGGTTCATAGTGATAGCTGATTTTTAGTAAATGATAGTTGTAATTACTGTCAACTGATCGAATAA